CACGCCACGAGGGAGAACACCAAAAAGATCGAGATGTGAGGAGAAACAAAAACTCCAACATTGTTTCAATATTTAGCAAGGCACGTGATAGTGATGACCGCTATTGTGGTCTTCCCCCTCCTCAGTGTGTCCCTCAAAACGAAAGTCAGACCCGATAGCCTGACACGTGAGTGTTCCATGTGTGGCGATAACCTAGCAAACGGTCTGCAGCCGGCGATAGAAAATCAGCGCACACAGGAGATACAGTTCAGTAAGGGCATACACTCTCTGTGTTTGAAAAGTTAATACAGAGAAGTTGAACGTAACATTATTCAACTGGACTAGTTCAGTACAAGAGAAAGATCCCATTGAACCGCTACAATTAACTAGACTCTACAGACCGCGGTACGCACACCAGTTAGTTGCAGTATAATAATTAAAATGAGGTGAGTCTTTTGTGTGTTTACCTTTCTGAACAACAACCGTTTGTTACAACTGTTACTTTGACTTTCTGTCTACTGCTGGCTTATTGTGATGTTAGCGGGTTTCACGGCAGCTGCAGTAAAGAAAGATGCAGACACTTGTCACTTTTAGTGAAAGCTTTTTTAAGTTATTAAATATACTAGAGAAGCACAGTTGAGTACAATCAAGTATCACTGACGTGACACTAGAGACACGCAAACGGATTCTTAGACATTAATTTGTTGCCCTGAAGGTTAGGTGTGCATCCTCCAGCTCAATTTCCAAAACAGACTATACTAATAACTAATAACTATTATTATATATTTTAGGAGCGGTGTCAAACTAAACCAAACTACTCAACTATACTTTGACATTAACGTAAAAAGAGATGTGATTATGATTATGAACAAGAGATTGGCTATCAGTGCTCTATTTAAAATTAAAGAACAAAATTGTTTTATATCTAAATCCTATTATAGTTTAACAGTTATTATTATTACAGATAAAACTTAAAAGCAACAATAAGTAATAGCAAATGCAGATGTAATAAATGTACCAAGTTAATGTTTTCTTACATTGGAGCAATGGGTTTTATTATTTCTGCACTCTTCTGAATACCAGTCCCAAATTATTCACAGCGAAAAACATCCCTTTGGAAGCCTCAAGATGTTATGTAGTAACAACATTTAGGCCATCATCATCAGTTTCCACTGCTGCCGTTATTGATCGATGGACAGCAATTTTTAGATGTTAAGCTAAGCGCCATGGGGAGGAATAGTATTCGATCCTTTGAAGCGGCATGGGGAGGAATAGATTTTGATCCATTGTTTAAGCGTCAGGGGGACTAATAGTTTTATATTGAGTGAAGCCGCGTGGGGAGGAATAGTTTTTGATCCATTGTTCACATTACCCGTGACTTTCCTTGTGGGTTCCAGGGCCACATGACCATGTTTGAGAAAAAAACAAGAATAGATCCACTGCCACCTAAAAAGCATGTTGTAAAAGGCGACTTATTAGGACTTAGCTAAAATCAGATTTGTTGGAAAGAAAGGTGCATATATCATAGCTTAGCTGTAAACCACAACGCAACGTGCTAACAGCCTTTTTTGAGGGCTACAGAAAAATTATCACCTGTCGGGTAATCGAATACTAGTAACCCGAGTGACAGGTGGAATACTTACAACTTTAATGCCAAAGACTCAAGAGTTTGGGGTCTGAATGGGATTTGTTAAACAGTAAATAATTTAGAACCGGCATTCGGAAGAGTGCCATTTTTCCTGTTTTCGGAAGAGTGCCTTACTTTGAAATTGAAATTAAATATTCTGTTAGTATTATATGATGGCCTAAGATAACCAAGAATAATATTTTGTTTCCGAATGGAGTATGATAGTGGAATGTGTAAATGGTGGAAGAGAAAATAAATACAGAAGTGAAAGTTTTAAAAACGAACTGCTTAACTTGTAAACACCAAAATATCAGCTTGCTAATTTCATTTAATTATGAAGAAAATGAAGCAAAATGATTATGAATGACTGAAAAAATAAACGATACTGAGAAAATTGTTTTTGTAACAAATGCCCAAAATATGCAATAATAGGCAAAGAATTGTTACTGTAAGAGAACAAAAAGTAGAGGATCTGGAAATAGAACACTACACAAAAATATGAATATTTGCTGCTGTGTATCCATGTAAGACCACAGTGTTGCCTGTAAGATCTCGAGTCAATTCAGGATTTGCTGATTACAAAAATCAGAACCCACCGACAGCTGTTGCAGCAAAGGCAGAGGTTTGTTGACTGTTGATGTGGTGGTTGTTGCTGAACTTCTGTCTCTACGGGTTCCTTGATTTGTAATAGCCTAAAGAGTACTGCCCCAGCAGCAGTTTGACAACACCACATGGTCCCCTGATAATTAATTAGTGTCAAGTATTGGGTACCTGTGACTCTTGTGTTCATGCTAAATATGGTAAATACCTAATCTGACCCAGTAATTCAATATTTGCCCAATGTTTTAGCATGTATTTTTTTTAAAAACCCTCTGGAGACCACACTGCCGAAATATTGGCCCAACAGAAAGTAGCTGTTTATTGATGGCTTTTGAAAAAGTTTGATGTGTTCGATAATTTTACATCTATTTTTTTTCTGGGGTAACCTGTACAAAACAATGACCAAAAGAACTGTTACGTCATAGCAACCAGAAACATAGCTGGAGACAGGAAAATGAGTAGAATGATATGCCAGAAGTGGCTGAAGGGCCTCCAAGGGCCTTACTTCCCAAAACACAAGTGTCAGGACTTATTCAAGCTTTATCCATACAAAAAATTCACCCACATTTTTTTGAGGTTCGTCATGCTTGTTCCCAAGATTTAAAAAAAAAATGCTTGCATAAATAATGCAAATCAAAATAGTTAATTTGAATAAATGTTAAGATTTTAATTTGATTCATAAATATTCTGTTGGCTTATTCAATTGCCTACACAAATATTTATATAGTTTTGTATATGTTAATTGAACGCTTTATTTTTTTAAATTTTGTGTGTATAAACTGTGAGAATCCCTCATGAAGGCTTCATCTTTTTGGCACTGAAACTCCAAAAAGGCTCTGTCTTCAGAGGGTTGAATATTTTTTTAAATAAAAAAAATTCTAAATTGTCTTCTCATACATTGTGTAAGGGAAAACAAAGACCTTAACTCTTTGAGCTTCAACGCGTTTAGGATCAGAGGATCAGGGAGTGGTAATGCATGTTTGAAATGTACACAAGTGTAACACATTAAAACAGACCATACTAATTCAGCTGTCGCACAACATACACATATTATACATCAAAGTGTCTAGGGATTGTTGATGAATAATATTAGAATACTGCTACAATAAATGATTGTGTTGGTAGTTAAATATAAGTAAGTAAACAGACAACATGTTTAGATCAGTTAGTCCAATGAAATAATAACTTGTCCACTTACTGTCATTGTGATCAAGGAATGCTCGATAAAATATGTTAAAAATGAATCTCAAATGAACATGAACTACTTAGTAACATAAATAAAATATAACCATGGACATAAATTTCGTTCCAGAGAAACTTGGAACCCCATAACAGAGAAAAAAAATTTTTTTGTAAAGAAAAATGAATTCTGAAAACAGTCAACTTTTTACCTTTAAAAAAAAAATTACTTTGGTACATATCAGGAAAGTCACAGCATTTTGCGGGCCGCAAGATTTCCTGCAGGCTATCCTATATTCAAAGGGTGTCACATTTGGTTATTTTCAATGCTATAAGCATTTATTATTCAGCGTTGTGAGCGGCCAGCATGCTCTGCATTTTACATCATCAGAGCTGGCACTATGTGTGTTACTTGCGTTATGTGGTCGCTCTTAATCGCTATCACTGTGGTGTCACTTGTTGACCTTCGCCATCAATTTCCTTAAACTGTCAGCATTGGTAAGCGACAAGCAGAGTTGTTGCTTTTCTGTAACCCCCCACTCCTCCCCCTACCAAACGACCCTTTTTAAGCCCGCCCAAAAATGTCACCAGTTCTCAAACCAATGACGGTTGCAGAAGAGCATAGTTGAGAGAGAAAAGAAAACTAGTTGAAGCCTCACTCGTGGACAGAAGGAAAAAAAACGTCACCTAATGTCACCTGCCATGAAAGAGAGCTCCACACTTTCGCATCCGCCCTTGAATGAAGGCTAGCCAATTGTCCGCGCACAGTGTGTATAGACAGGGGATGTGAAGGAGTACATATCCCAACACTCCTACAACATAGTACAGCCCCCTGAAACACGCCATAGAATGAATGAAAGCCAGCATTAAATCTCGCGCCTTGTGAGATGCGGTGAATTTCTTGATATGTTCCAGAACGTTGTATAACATTCAGTTTGCCCATAATTTTATAGCCTGTATTCCTAAATGATAAGGGAATTAATTGCACTAGACCTGACACTAAAGAAAATCAAATTTTTCACAAATTGTGTTTATCATTATGCCAGCTGACTTTGTTATCATTGTTTGCTTTGCATGAGGCACTGGAAACATAACTAGAGCTATCTGTCATCAAAGTTTGACTATCTGTGACTGAAACAAGTCTACTTCACAACTTTCTTTGTCTACCTTAGGGTAAATCTTATAAACACATGTTTTATTTTAATGTGAGGCTTCTAAAGCCATACAATTTATTCTCATGCATGAAGCAGTCTGCTTGGAGGTCACATTGTTTTCAAACAGATGCTTAATAACTCGCTGAAGCTCATAAACTTGCTATATTTTATGCTTTTTTTAATCATGTTTCCAAATACACTTCATGGTCAATATGTGTGTTATTGAACATGAAGAACGGGAAATACTATTCAGAACAGCCGGTTTGCATTTTTATATGGGCCAGTGGTAAATTAAAATACTTGTACACATCATGCACCGATTGGGTGGCTGGGTAGTAACCAGATGGTGCTGATTGTTACTTGGGACATCCAGGCATTTAATGCTTATAGCATTGGTTTAAAATCTTAAATTTACTTGTAGATACAAGTATTACTTATTTTATTCCACATTTTTTTTTCAGTTCCTTGCCAGAAACATACGTGGAGGGATTTCATGATATCACACAAGTAAAGTTAATGCCCTATCGACCGTTGGGAAGAACTGGGCTACATGTATCAGCATTGAGTTTTGGTAACTACCAATAGTTCAGGTTTTTTAATGTATTACAGTATTGTATAGATTTTATGGTACAGTATTTTATTGGGTAATATTATAACTAGCTTGTGGGTATCATTGTTCTTCTTTTTATTTCCTAATACAAAATTTGCACTCATAGATACAGTTTGGATATATTTCAAACTGAAATACACATGATATGTGTAAAGTGTATCCCTCATGTTGCTAGATATCTGTAGCACTTCATTCACTGAAACTGCCCAGTCTGTCTTTAACAAATGTGTACTTGCTTGTTTATGTGTCAGATCCTTCTTACTGATAGAGCAGAGGTCCGGTGAATACACGAGTCACTGGCTACAGGCCTGCTCAGGATCGAGCGCAGCAGGCTTATCGGAAAGTTCAAGGTCTGGTGTCTCCAATTTATGTTGATTCCAAAACTCCTCTACGAAGTGACGATGACTGCAGTGGAGACGATGGAGCGCAAAATGCAACACAGCCATGAGGAAGTGGTTGGGAGCACCGCCTCGTCTGACTGATGTGGCTCTGTATTGTAAACAGGCTAAGCTAGTACTCCCGTTCAAATCAGTAACCGAAGAGTTTAAAGTCGGCAAAGTAAGACTCGCCATACTCTTGCGTGAGTCTTCAGACCCAAATGTCTCCGCTGTCCAGCCCGCTCTAAAGACAGGCCTGAAGTGAAAGGTCCTAGATGCGATCGAATCTGCCCAGAATGCACTAAAATTAAGAGAGGTTATGGATTACACTCAAACTGACCGTCGAGGCCTAGGGCATGGGAAAGTCAGTTGGTGGTCCAAAGCCACAGCCAAAGAGCGCAGAGACATGGTGATACAGCAGATCAGGGACTCTGAAAATGAGGTAAGGGTCCAGAAAGCAGCCGAACAGTCGCAGCAAGGCCAGTGGATGGGCCTCGAGAGCGCTTTGCCATGAGTACTCACATGGGATGAGATCTGGCGAATGGCCCCGCTGCAACTGAGCTTTATCGTTCGCTCTGTCTATGATGTATTACCGTCCAGTGTCAACATGGTAAAGTGGAGTGCGGCTAACGACCTGACATGCCCACTATGCAGAGCTAAGCAGACTCTCAAGCACGTACTGTCCGCGTGCAGAAAAGCCCTAGGTCAAGGCAGGTATACTTTGCGCCACAACAAGGTCCTGAAAGAGTTAGTGGCCGTTGTGGACCAAGCTAGGATGAGGGCCAATACGAGGGCCAGTCCTACCGTCATCCCCGTGCACTTCCTTAAGGCTGGGCAGATTTATAAAGGTAAATTCAACAAAGTCGCATACGCTCCATCGATGCTTGACTGTGAGGGACTGGTCACTGGCGGTTGACCTGCCTGGACATGAAAAGTACCCGGAGTTAATTCGGAAGACTGGTCTGCGACCCGACAGTCCTACACTCTGCGGAGAAACGTCAGCTCATCCTGATTGAGCTGATCGTGCCGTTTGAGTCATGAATGGACAAAAGACATATGTATAAGCTCGAGAAATATAGTGACTTAGCGGCTGGTCTGAGGAGAGACGAAGCGTACACAGTAAGAATCTTCGCCATCGAGGTAAGCGCAAGAGGTCTCGTTTCCACTTCAATGTACAATGTGATTAAACACTTAGGCTTATGAGGGAATGCACTCAAACGAGCACTAAAACAGCTGGGTGATGTTGCTGAGAGGACCTCGAGCTGGCTCTGGACACAACGGAATGTCGTGGGGGACGGGCCTCGGTGAGCTGGTCCGGGTGTCTAGTGGAAAAGAATGTCTTATCCCTTAAAGTCCATCGTGTCTGAATTGTCTGCCAGTGTCCCTCTGCTGCCTGCCAACAAAGTCCAACATGTGTCCAATAAACCAAACGTAAGCTTGCCACTTGGTCGTCCAGGTAAGCTGACTGCTCTAATTATGCTACCGCAACGACTTCGTATCTGACAGTACCTTTCGCAAAGTCACGAATTAGTCTTGTCCCTGTCCGATAACATCCGGTAATATGTGCAGCAGGAGAAACCAACCCTGAGCCTCATGAACTCAGGTGGGCCCTCTCTGAAAATGTCTAGGAGCTCGTGGGCCGAAACATTTGTCGACGAGAGATTACTTCTACTGATGATTGGTAGTCTCCTGCTGTACATGCTCCCCTGGTGAGTTTTTTCTTATCTGTATATATATTTTTTTTAATATCCAGAAACCATGAGTTGTTAATTAACTCTTTTGGCTCGGTATATATTGTTTCTGTGTCTAGTCCCTTGAGCCTAACTACAATGATGAAGGAATTCTAAATATTTTTTCTTAATGTAATGTAAAACTGAAAAATATAAACAATAAAAACATTGCTTTCATATTGTTACTTTACTGTTTTATTAATAATAAAAATATTTCTGTCATGTTGTTACTTTACTGTTTCTTACCCAGGTTCTTACTTTTCAAATAAAATAACACACGTAACAGAGATAGTAAATTAACATTCTGTATAGAATAAACTAATATAAAATCAAATGCATAAAGTATTAAAGTGTGGTATGCAAAAAGCACCACTACATGTGTGGAATGGTAATTGGTACAGAGTGCATTTAGCTGAAGGTGCGGATATTAAAAACTCAGCATCATCAAAACTCCACCATGTTGTGGTGAGGAACAGTTTGTGGTCCATTGCTACGGCTACCTAGCTGTCATTGCAAGTGGAGATATAATGTCATTTAACATCACCAATCCATCTTATCCTTGTGTGCCCTCATGCTGTAACATAAACATCTGTTTTTTAATGAGATGACCAAACCATTTAGTTTGTAGCTTCTTGATAAATGTAATGTAAACTGTTTTTCCCCCACAGTATGTCTGACAGTATTATCTCTCACTCAGTCTCAGGCAGCTCATCTCACAGATAACTGTAGGTCAGCTTTTCATTATGTCCAAATGTGGTGCTGGTGGTACAGTGTTGGTGTGAATATGTTGTTTATAAATTGTTTCTTGGTAGTCATACTTCTGTTTGGACATCTTAATGTCAGTTAGTACACTAATGCACAGGCCCTTTGGCATCTTGATTCTATTTTCCAAACTATTCAGCTGTTTTCCAAGAATATTCTTCCTAGATATTTTAATTCTTTCCCCTACTTGTTTCAGACAAGAGCCATCAGTCCTGTCTGAAGAGGACTAAAAATGCTTCTGGAATAGTAAAAAAAAAAAAAAAATACTGGGCCTTCCATTTATGAGTTTATTTGCAAGAATTGTATTTAGTTTTCTTTTGTCAACATCTGATGTGCACAGTTGTATGTGGTGCCAGTTGGGGATTATATCTCTGGTGGCAGAACATGTCATACCATATCTGGGATCATTTGGCCAATAACGGTCTTGGTCTGTCACTCTTCGCTCATGGCTCCACCTTCTGCTAGCATATGGTGGGCTCATCACAGGCTATTTTATGGTCTTGGCTTGGTCAATGAAACCAAGTTGTGATAATCAGTGAGTCTAATAAAATAGAATCAGTGCTAGAAAGTGAGAGATAAAAATTCAAAACTCTCCTTCATTTGAATCTAGTTAGTGTTTAAATTATATTCTCATCTCTTTCACAAGCTATATTTTACCACCTGTGATGCACTGTTTTCATTTCAGGTGCTAGTTCCCTGGGTAGTGTTTTTCGATCAACAGAACAAGGTGAATCATTAGAAGTTGTAAAAACGGCACTGAAATCTGGCATCAATTATTTGGATACAGCACCTTGGTATGGTCATGGCAAGTCAGAGAGTGTACTGGGCAAGGTAATCTTGTTTATTCAAAGCTAAATACAGGTTGTTGTGTTTGTAGTTCACAGTATTTTACTTACATTCGAAAGAATTCCAATTCATATATTAAATAATTCAGCAGTTAATGCTATGTTTTATTCTCTGTTCTCATTTTTCACAGTCTCCTTTATTGATTCTTCCAATTATTTGTTTTCAAAGTTTCTGTACATTATAACTTTGTTTATCAGTTAGCCATGTTCATGTAGTATTTCTGACATAAAGCAGCATTAGTATTTTAAAAAGAACAAAAAAGCTGTGGATTTTGCAAAAAGCAAAAACAAAAATATCTGATTGATCTTAGTCCACATCTCATCTATTACATCTCCCAGATGTGACATATTTGACCATCTCTGAACGTGTGCCTCCAAATAATGACAGGCAAAGCTTGGCTTAGCCCGTAACAGTCTGACCTGTTTCTATAGAATCAATCATCTACTTCTTTGCATTCATTTTCCTATGCTCAGATCATCAGGCTGAGGTGAGACTTGAATCAGTCCAATCCTCTTCATTGAGAATCAAGTACATTTTAACATTGACTATTAAAACACATGAGATTTTACAGATTTGTGTACACAATGAGAAAATCTTGGTGGCTCTTGACAAACTGTTGCGATAAAGGTAGCAGGAAGATAAACAGGTGAATGCTTAGTCAGATGCCAAAAGCAGGACTAGAATACAGACTTGGTCCAAGATGGTGATTATTTTAGTTGGCAAACAGTGATTTAATTTAAAATTTTAAAATTTTTTAAAAATTTTTGTCTATTTATAAATTTATACAGCTTAAAACTTATGTCATTAAAGAAAATTAAATGAACACTGCACTGTTAGTACACTTAGTCAGTTATTTATTGGATGAAGCCACATATATTTTTACTGGATGAGATTTCCTAACTATATATATTCTTTAAATGAAACCACATAATGGTTTATTCATTGCACGAAGCTAACCATACCATAATAAATCATGCTAATCCCTTTGTCCATATATGCTAGACACATATCTTCCAATTCCATAATTTTATCTATCTGGCAGAAAGTGGACAAACAACCAGAACTTTTGGCTGGAGTTTACAGCTTGTGAATGCAAAGAAATCAAAGAAGAATGGTTTCTGCACATTGAATTCCAAAAATCTTTTTAAAGCAACATTGCATAATTTCCTGCAGGAATCTTTACCTGTGAAACTGATAATATGGGGAATTCAAATGTTAAGTCTTGTAATGAAGCTGAAGCTTTTTTCAAGCATTTCATTTTGTACTTTGATTAACGTAGTTTGAAAAATCGTCTAGAACAGTTATTGGAACAGCTGTGACTTATATAAATCTACTCTGAACAGTTGTGTAGCTATTTTCATTTTTCTTTTGTAATTGTAATGGGATATCACACACCAAGATATCAAAACAATATCAGTGTTGTATTTATACCTGGGCTGACAAAAGTCAATAGCTGTTATCATAGTCATCTATTCAGCTGCCTGTTGACATCTAATATTGTTTCAGAATTTCAACACAAATGCTTTGTTTGTATTTGACACAGATACATGACATGGAGTTTGCACCAAGCATTGATATTATACTTAATGAAACTCTCCCAGCCCTACAGAAAGTCAAGGAAGCAGGAAAGGCTAAATTTATTGGCATCACTGGATATCCTCTAGAAAATTTCAAGTAATTTTAATTTCTGTACTTATTGTTTTCAATGTAAAAAAAAAATTATATTGCTGCTGTTTCTCTCCTTTCCTGTATTCTACCACCATCTGCATTATTTATATTTACCCTGTCTTCAGTTTTGATAATGAGTACACAGTTAGCACATCAAACTGAATTCATGGTAAAGTGAGTATCTGCAAACTAGGTCATATTCAAGGAAAACAAAAGCTAAAAAAAAAAACCTAGTGAAGCTGGAGAGAAAAATATTTTAAGAGAAGTGAAAATATTCTGGCCAAATTTGAAGACAGCATAAATTTATTTAAACTAAAAGTAATGTAAAGGGCTCATTTCTGTGGCATAAGGTTTATGGTGCGCAGCATTGAATGGGCCAGGTAGTCAGTATTATGACTGGCTCCGTTTACTCCTTCCTATCTAGTAAAACTTTGAGGTTGAACAGCTAAACCCTTCCACTCCATAAAAATCTTTTTAAACAAAATTGCTTTGTTGAAAAATTTGTTAAAAACAAAATCATCATTATAGTTCTCTGAAACTCCACACAGAGAAATAGACGAAGAGTAAAATCAGATTTTAGTTAGTTTTGATTAAAATGTGGTTTAAACCCATCAACACAGAGCAGACGTGCCAGAATGATGGTGACTGAAATATCAGGACCGCTAAGTCACTACAAATAGAGTTTGATTGGTAATATTTTTAGTCACATTTTTTCATGCATAGAGGAAAGTAATCAGTGAAATAAACAGCATAAAACACATTCATCAGCTAATAACACTCTGCTAGTGTGAGGGACAGGTTCTACAAGACTTCAAAGTTTCAAGCATCACAACTATTGACAAGAATAAGAGCGATTGGAGAATATCACAGAGAGCTGCTGTTTGCAGATGATGCAGCAATTACCACCAGCTCAGAGGAGGAGTTGCAGTGTTTACTGTCTGCATTGATTTGCTCATGCCTGCCGTGAATTTGGATGAACAGTCAGCAGAAAGAAAACAGTTATGGTGCAAGGTGTTAATGACAGACCTGCAGTCGACATTTATGGTGAAGAGCTGGAGACAGTTTAGTATTTTACCTGTCGGGGATCTACAGTTAGTAACAAACTATCACTGGACCAAGAAATAAACATCAGGATAGGTCAGGCAGCATTAACAATGAGAAGGAAGCTAAGGCAGCAATAACAATGAGCAGATTAACAAAAAGAGTTTAGGAGAACAGAAAGCTGACGATTAAAACAAAAACTCTCGTCTATCAGGCTTGCAGTCTCAGAATTCTGATTTATGGCAATGAAAACTTGATCAACTTGTTCACACCAGGAGAAACAGCTAAATAACTTTTACGTACGATGCCTAAGAAGAATACTTGGCATTAAGTGGCAAGACAAGATCACAAACACTGAGCTATTGGAAAGAGTAGGTATTACTAAATATTTTTTTAATGCTCAGTCTATGAAGGCTCAGGTGGCTGGGTCACACCTGGAGAATGGAGGATGACAGAGTCCCTAAGGACATCCTCAGTTGTGAATTATAGATGGGTAGAAGATGTCAAGGATGACCTCTTCTACGATACAAATATGTAGGCAGGTAGGACATGAATGAGACAGGTATTTAAGAAGACTCAAGGAAACAGAATGCCATGGACCATGGATGGAGGGGGTACATCAGGAAGGGAATGATTAAAAAAAAAGAGGAAGAAATAATAGCAGAAAGAATCAGAGTTGAGCGGCTGCGAAGAAACACACTAAACACAAATGATGGCATTGACGGTCCTGAAATATCAGGCGATGATTGTGGAAGACTTTTCTTAACTTGGGTGGATCTTGCTAGTCACCTTGCCCTCACCATGGACTGTGAGCCGCATGCTTCCTCATTGCACAACATAACACTATCGTTTGGAAAGCGGAAAGGTGCCAAGAAACGTCTATTTACTATGCAGTTGTAACCAGTACCAAATCTGCTATATATATATATATATATATATATATATATATATATATATATATATATATATATATATATATATATATACTGTGCCAGTCTAATATTTGAAAAGGCTGCCTGCCCGATGATTATGTCTTAACTAACAGAACATATTTGAACACGACCATGCATTCATATATATATATACGCATTGGCCACTGCCCAAAGACGTCATATCATTCATGGAAAACATATAAAAGTCCGAATACCAACACTCACAGGGCAGCAGATTTAAGGTTAATAAAATAGTAGCAGTTATAGAAGTGGAAAGATATTAAAAAATGGATAAACAACAGCCTGCTAAGAGCTATAGAACCAAAGTGAAAAACAGTTGGTACTATAACCGTTGTTATAGTAGTTTTAACAGTAGAGTCTAGCCACAGTTAGGAAACCTTTTTAGACAACTGGAGAGGAGAGCAAGAAAAAGTGATTAATTTTGAAACATAACCATATCTGAATGCATGGTCGTGTTCAAATATGTTCTCTTAGTTAGGACATAATCATCGGGCAAGGCAGCCTTTTCAAATATTAGACTGGCACATGACATTCATTGGCAGGTGTCACATACAGAAAAAACATAGCCACAAGACTTTTGCTAAAATTAAATGATATCATGAAAAGCAAAAACGTCCTGATGGAGCCAGACTTTTTTCAAAAAATGACTGACTCTCAGGTCAACCCAGCCTTGAGTGGGTACCATGCGCGGTTCTGGGAAGTAAAGGTGGCCGTCATAATGCTGACCACATCACCCACCAAGTGCCGATTGGTCTATAAAAATATAGGTCTAGCCCTATATTCCCAATACACCTAAAGGGGTGGAAAAGGGTCCTTTACTTTAAAAAAAGGAAAAGCAGAAAGAAATATCACTACCACACAGATAATCACATGTGTGAAAGCTGGATGCTTTAACAATTGCTTTTTGAAAAATAAAACACTTGGATTGACAGCTGCTTGTGTCACGACCCACAAGTTTAGACAGTCAGGACTAAACTATTCGCAGACGACCAGGTACTCAGAGCAAAAAGTACGGAATGCCTACAGAACCACCTAAATCAAATTAGTAACAAAGGTGAGGAATATAATATGAAAATAAACACTACGAAGACAGAGACAATGGTGATAGGAAGACAGAAAGACAACTTAGAAATAAAATTAAAAAACAACACCCTAAGACAAACAGAGGAATTTAAGTATTTGGGAGCAATTTTCACATCTGATGGAAAACTGGACAGAGAAATTAGCTCCAGATGTGCCAAAGCTAATCGAGTAATGGGGCAACTATCTCCCCTGTTGACACACAAGCAGATACCTCGGAGTACTAAAGTGAATCTTATCAACACTATGCTATCAGTGCCAAATGTGGACACTTACATCCTCCAGTGAACGTAAAATTGTGACAACAGAGAAACAGAGATGAAATGCCTTAGAAGAGCTGCAGGAGTTTCAAGGAAAGACAGAATATGAAATCAGATGAATGCTAGGAATCAAGCCAGTCTTACAGGTCATGAAAGAACAACAAATGAAGTGGTTTGGACACCTAACAAGAATGCCCTTGTACTATCTGCCACAGCGGGGCACACTAAAACGTTACAATGGGTATAGAGCAAATGGAAGACCTTGGAAAATATGGAGTGATGGCATTACGAACAGCCTTACAGAAATAAACATTAGTCTTAATAGTGCTCTTGACAGAGCTCATCAACGAACATTACATCTCCCCTTGACACTTTGATGAGGTGGAAGAGAAGAAGAAGAAGGACTAAATAGGTCAGGTATCAGTTTAACTCTTGTTGCCTTTACTTCTCAGAAAATGTCCTTGTATGTTTTTTCGGCTGAGATGATCTCAAGAGTCCTACTTAAGATTTAAAAAATTTTTTTTTTTTAAATTCAAACATTTGACCACCAAACTGCAGGTAAAGATGTTAGCCGCTAGACCACCCCAGATTCTAGACTACACTAATGGAACATTAAAACCATTCTAAAAAGTTATTTGCATATCCTTTACAGGATGTTACAGAACCAACCCCAGCAATTTGTTGCTGTTGAGTTTTTCTAGGCAAATTTAATGCTCACTAGTTTGCCACTGCTTCCTGAATAGTCAGCTCTCGTTACCACTGTTGAAACCAACGCAAGACAAACAGTCTGCCGCTGGGATCGAACCTGCCACTCCAGCATTTCGAAGCACGTTCTCAACACCTTAGTTACCTACGCTGACTTGAAATCATTAGAAAAGACATTTTTGAGACATATGAATAAAAGAGATGAAACTACAACCCCCCTTTGTGGGGGGAAATAGTGATGTGATGGGGGGATAACTTTCTATGTGGAAAGCAACTTGCTCAATATAATTATGTATATTTTTTCTGCAAACACCATTTGTAATAAATTTCCAAAGACAAAGAAAGAAGACTACGTAATTTTGTTCACAAGCATTTTATCAAGACCAGACACGGGAAGAACATAGTTTTGTAGAAATGGTTGGTGATATCATGTTTTGCAATACAGGTCAACAGTGTCAAATACTCTTTTTTTAATTATCAGATAAAATTGCTCATAGTTGATTTATTGTTTGATGATGTTACTAGAAATTGCTATATTGTGACAATGACTGTTATTTTAAGGACTGTTTTAGAGAAGAGCCAAGTTCAGATTGATGTCATCCTGACCTACTGCAGAGCTTCTATGAATGATAATTCTTTAAGAGACTGGCTGCCATATTTCCAAGTAAGATATTTGATCAATAACACACCATTGCCTGACATCTAACCCTCTCCCTGTAACACAATATTGCTTGACATCTAACCCTCTCCCAGTAACAATTTTTGCTGGACATCTAACCCTCTCCCTGTAACACAACATTGCTAGATATCTAACCCTGTAACACAACCAAGAATTTGTTGTCTTTTACTGGGGGTGATGGCTGATTGGGCTGAAGGGATTGATACAGGAAATGTGTGGTCTTCCTTTGTTATTGACACATTTAGCTGTGATATTTAGTTTAGGATGATGTCATCAAGGTGGGGTTGTCAGAAAATCTTTATTTTTTACAGCTTACATTTTAAAACTGCTCTTTATAGTTTTGTAACAATCAGCAATAGGCTATTTCAGCAGCCTGAATCAATTTTTCCAGTGCTGAAGTTCATAACCCACACTAGACAGTAACATAAACTACCCACACTAGACATTCACATACAGCCACCCACACTAGACAATCCCATCACACTAGACAATCACATGGTTCCCACACTAGACAGTCACATGGTTCCCACACTAGACAGTCACATAGTTCCCCACACTATATGATCACATAAGTTCCCCACACTAAATAATCACATAAGGTTTCCCACACTAGAAATTCACATACAGTTACTCACACTAGACATCAGTTACAATTCACAGACAGCATGACCCTTGACATTCATTGGCATCTGTCAGGGCACACAGATATTGATCTTGTGGTGAGTTCAGCTGGTCATCTCTGCTCAGTCTACATCAGCCAAGGTCCTAATGTAGATCTGATGGAAAATGCAAGGCAAGACTTACATAAATTGGAGTGAGGTGTTTTTATCAGTTTCAAGCAGTGGGTGGCAACAGAGATCAAGATTGTCTCACTGGCTTGAGCTGTGGTCATACCAACAACAAACTTACAGTGGGTCGAGGGTCATGGAGACTCAGGGCAGTAGTGGCTAAGACTCGAGCAGTGGAGCACACGAGCTGTTCCCACTTGAGTCTCTGGGTCTAGCCTTACAGGTGAAAAGAGCGCACTCGGGTGGTAAGGCCTCTGACCAGGCAACCATTTCTACAGTCAAGACTGTTGTGTGTGACCAAAAAGGCACATCCTTCAAAAAGTAACCCTATAAACCTTGCTGTCCTTAGACAAAACACAACATATCTAGAGGAGCCAACCTTGATTTAAAAAACCCAAGCCTAAAGTGGATCCACATGCTGAGAGACTGAATGGCTGTGGGATAGGCAGTCATGGACGTCTGGGCGGCACCAGGCGTGTGGACTTCATAAGGACATTCATTGCCTCTTCCCTTTAAGGCAGGCTCTACTAGGGTGACTGGTTACTTCATAGGAATTTTTTGCCGGAGCTACGGAGCACATGCTCAGCGCTAAATGTCATCTTCAGTGAGCAGCAAAGAGAGAGTGCAGAGGAGAAAATGATAAAATGGTAAGAGAAGAAAGCAGAGAAATAGAAGGGTCGGAGCCAGGAGATTTAGTTGAAAATCAGAGCGGCTGGGGTTCAACCATGTAAGAGTGTGCTTTTGGGATTGTCGCAGTGAGGGCTCATACTAGAGAGGTTGATATAGGATTTCAATGTAATCATGCATCAAGAGCTGCCCTGAATATCATCTATGTAAACCTTGCTGGACATGGGAGACATGGGCAATGTCTTCTAGTGAATGAGATACTGAAACATGTGGTGTTTGACTTGATTCTGTGGTATCATGATACCGTATTGGTGCAGGGAATACGGATGGAGATTGATGGCCTGAGCTGGAACATAATAAATATATATGCTGGCATGGGCTCATTAGTCACAAAGCAACAATGGGACTGACTGAAAGACCTAGAGAAGATCCATGGCAGCAGGTTCCCCAGTTGTGAGGATTTCAGTGTGCGGAACAATGGATGGGACAGTACTGGGGAAAATCGACAGGGATTTGCTGTTGCTGACGCCATGGTCGATTCAAATTTTGTTTGCAAAAATGATGGGAGGCCAGCAAGAATGGTGATGCAGACACGGCTATTGACCTAGCGTTAGTTACCCAATCAGCAGTACTGGATACCAAATGGACTGTTCTAGGTGATCATGGAAGTGATCATCTGCTGTGTTTGGTATTGATCTCCAATTCCAGTAAAGGCTTCAAGAGCTCCTAGGTCTTTCAAATATGAGCGGACAAACACCTTTCTTCGACTCCTTGGACATAGGGTATCGAAAAGGAATGGCAGATCTACTTTTGTGCAGTCTCCATGGTGGAAATTAGAGGTAGAACAGGCATTGAAGTTAAAGAGAGCTGCAGTAAGGTGATTAAAGAAAGTGCGACAAACATCCCTAAGCATGTAGGAGGAGTTGGAGTGCGAGGAAATAGATAAGAAAGATAGGATAGAGGTTTTCAAATGTTGTGTAGCAGAGGCCAAAAATAAATCAAAATGGGAACATTTGAATAATGAAATTAAAGGTGATAAGACTTTTGAAAATTTTGGAAGCTACATAGACAGATGCTCAAGAAAGATCGGCCGAGATTAGTGGGAACAGTTCATAGAGACGAAGGCCTGCTATTAACCACAGACAAAGAGAAGGGGGAAACTTTCCTGAAGAGGTTCATTTCACAGACAGACCACAATGATGGAGACAACAGAGATGCAGTCAGCCGCCATAAAGAATAAACATTATGAAGATATACAGGTGGAAGATGTGAAACATGTTCTGAAAAGGGTGAAAGACACTGCACCCGGGCCTGTCGGGGTCATGAGGGACATGAGTGATGCCGACCTGTTGGAGATGACTGCCTGTTTCAACCAGAGCATTAGGACAGCTTCACTTCCACAAGAGCGGATGCACAGCTACCTGATTCACCTTCTTAGGCCTGGCAAGGATCTTTTAACACTCCGCATCTTTAGTATCATAACCTTACAAAACACTTTTGACAAAGTGCTGGGTAAGCTACAAAAAGTTTTGGAACAGAGAAAGCTCCTTCCAGGAGGTTTGGGAAGTTATTGGCCAGGAAAAGATACATGGTCAAATGCGGCCACTTTTGCCTTTGACGCCTTCGAAAGCTTCCAGAACAGGCTGAAAATGGTGTTAGAGGCACTTGATTTAGAAGTTGCCTACAGCAGAGTCAGATATAATAACTTGATGACAGTTGTTATGGAGAAGGAAGTCTGTCCTTGGTTGCTGAACTGGAAAGCAGCTGCTTTGTATTCTTGTTGGGTAGCTCTCTGCCTGGGTTCATGGACCTCCGAACCATGTATTATAACCCCGGGGCTACCACAGAGATTTGCTATTTCACCTGTGCTTTTCAGTGTTTTTACGAGCAAGACTGCGGACCTGGAAATACCTGGAGTTGGTAGAATATTGACTTTCGCAGATGATATTCTCATATATAGGCAGGGGAGAGATCGGAATCAAATTGCTCAAGAGTTACAGACAACACTTGATAAGGTGATCGACTGGTATACAGAGATGAGTACTGTAATCAACCCAGAAAAAGCAACCGTCCTATGGTGGTCTTTGGACAACAGGATTGTTAGAGCTGATGTTCCAAGCCTCAAAATGAGTGGCAAGGACATCAAGAAAGACAGCAGACTGTTGTACCTGGGAATCACCTTTTAAAGAAACGTGTCTTTCAAGGATCACATAGAAGTGGTTGTGTCAAATACCCAAAATGGTCTTAATGCACTAAAAATTATTGCAGCAATGGGCATGGAGCAAAAAATGCTGTTCACACTATACTAGCACTTAATCATCTCAGTGATTGATAATGGATTGGATTAGCTCACTGTCTCGAAGAGTCAGCTAGAGAAACTTGAGCGCATACAGAATGAAGCTATGCGGCTGATCCTGGGATGTACAAGAGACAGCCTGATTGTGTGCATGCGATACATCCTTGCATTGCCAACTATTGCAGATAGGCTAAAGGTGCTACAGGCTAAGTCATACCTCAGAGTAGCTGCAAATAAAGAGCACCCTCTGTATGAAGCTTTGGATACAGTTAAGCATCAGAGGTTAAAAAGGGGAAAATCGTGGATGGCTCAAGCAGAAGACACAATAAGTCAAGTATGCATGTTGAAGAACATTGGGTGAGGAGAGGAGTACCAGAGGAAAAGTCTGACCTATGTAGGGTCATGATCACATTAGGTCGGGAGTGCAAAGTGTGGTCAGTGGGAGCTACTGAGGAGGAAGTCCAACTGTTGATTCATGACAATTCTCATCATGATGATCTGATTATCTACACAGATGGTTCTGTACTGAGAGGGAAGAGAAGGGCCTGGGGTTTTGTAGCGGAAGCCAATGGAAAATCTTTAGTGCAGGACAGCCTGGCATATGATACCATGACATCTAGCATGAGAATAGAGGTGGAGACGGTCACTGCAGCTTGTCGGTGGCTGGAGAACAAGATACATGCACATGTCAAGCTTCCCTTGAAAGGTCACGGGTAGTAAACATGCTTTGGATCTTTTCTCCATGTCATGCCGGCGTGGTGGGGAATAAACATGCAGACAGACTGGCTCGATCTGAATTGCTGGGTGGTGAATTGATGCCTGACAAAGCAGATGTAGCCAGAACCCTTTGGGAACAAGTAATGAAGTCAAAAGAGTAACTAGATTATTATGGGCTGGAGAGAATGATGCACCTGTGTGTAACCAGGGGGTTCGTCTGGTACACTAAACTCAGAAGAAAGGCAAGACGGACATACAACCAGACTACGACTGGCTTTAGTAGTACTGGAACTCTGCGCTGGCTGCTGAGGATGGGGACGGAGCATGTAGGGGAATGCTTTGAGTACTGTGATGTCAATTCTTTACTTAACTCAACTCAGAGTTAACCAATATTAGACAGTCAATACAGTTTTCCAAACTAGACAGTCTCATATCTGCACTAGACAGTTACATGCGGTTACCAGCACTAGACAATCACCCATACACCCTATAATTACATTTTATTACCATTATTAGTCATTCATACATCCATTTGTGTAAAACACAAGAAAGTTTATGTATTTTCTGTTGATTTGTGGAGCCAAGGTGTTTATGTATTCTCTGTTGACTTGTAGAGTCAAGGTGTGAGAGCAGTCAAGTTTATGTATTCTCTGTTGATTTGTGGAGCCAAGGTTTTTATGTATTCTCTGTTGATTTGTAGAGCCAAGGTGTGGGGTTAATCAAGTTTATGTATTCTCTGTTGACTTTTAGTCAAGGGCTGTGTGTAGTAAAGTTTATGTATTCTCTGTTGACTTGTGGAGCCAAGGTGTGGGGTTAGTCAAGTATTTGTAATCTCTGTTGACTTGTAGAGCCAAGGTGTGGGAGTAGTCAAGTTTATGTATTCTCTGTTGATTTGTGGAGCCAAGGTTTTTATGTATTCTCTGTTGATTTGTAGAGCCAAGGTGTGGGGTTAGTCAAGTATACGTAATCTCTGTTGACTTGTAGAGCCAAGGTGTGGGAGCAGTCACGTTTATGTATTCTCTGTTGATATGTGGAGCCAAGGTGTTTATGTATTCTCTGTTGACTTGTAGAGCCAACCAAGATGTGGGAGCAGTCAAGTTTATGTATTCTCTGTTGACTTGTATAGCCAACCAAGATGTGGGAGCAGTCAAGTTTATGTATTCTCTGTTGACTTGTAGAGCCAACCAAGATGTGGAAGCAGTGAAGTTTATGCATTCTCTGTTGACTTGTAGAGCCAACCAAGATGTGGAAGCAGTCAAGTTTATGTATTCCCTGTTGACTTGTAGAGCCAAGATGTGGGAGCAGTCAAGTTTATGTATTCTCTGTTGACTTGTAGAGCCAACCAAGATGTGAAAGCAGTCAAGTTTATGTATTCTCTGTTGACTTGTAGAGCCAAGATGTGGGAGCAGTCAAGTTTATGTATTCTCTGTTGACTTGTAGAGCCAACCAAGATGTGGAAGCATTGAAGTTTATGCATTATCTGTTGACTTGTAGAGCCAACCAAGATGTGGAAGCAGTCAAGTTTATGTATTCCCTGTTGACTTGTAGAGCCAAGATGTGGGAGCAGTCAAGTTTATGTATCCTCTGTTGACTTGTAGAGCCAACCAAGATGTGAAAGCAGTCAAGTTTATGTATTCTCTGTTGACTTGTAGAGCCAAGATGTGGGAGCAGTCAAGTTTATGTATTCTCTGTTGACTTGTAGAGCCAACCAAGATGTGGAAGCAGTCAAGTTTATGTATTCTCTGTTGACTTGTAGAGCCAACCAAGATGTGGAAGCAGTGAAGTTTATGTATTCTCTGTTGACTTGTAGAGCCAAGATGTGGGAGCAGTCAAGTTTATGTATTCTGTGTTGACTTGTAGAGCCAAGATGTGGGAGCAGTCAAGTTTATGTATTCTCTGTTGACTTGTAGAGCCAAGATGTGGGAGCAGTCAAGTTTATGTATTCTCTGTTGACTTGTAGAGCCAAGATGTGGAAGCAGTCAAGTTTATGTATTCTCTGTTGACTTGTAGAGCCAACCAAGATGTGAAAGCAGTCAAGTTTATGTATTCTCTGTTGACTTGTAGAGCCAAGATGTGGAAGCAGTCAAGTTTATGTATTCTCTGTTGACTTGTAGAGCCAAGATGTGGAAGCAGTCAAGTTTATGTATTCTCTGTTGACTTGTAGAGCCAAGGTGTGGGAGTAGTCAACGCATCTCCTATCAGCATGGGTCTGTTATCCAGTCGAGGCCCACCAGCCTGGCATCCTGCATCTTCAGTAATAAAAACGGCTTGTGCTGAGGCTGCTGCCTACTGCAGTGTAAGTGGTTTTGGACTCCTCCAATATCTCAGTCTTAGTTTCAACCTTTGAAATGTAAATTTTAGTAGTTGTAATTAGGTTTATGATTTTGATAGGGCCTTTTATTTAATTTAAAAAAAATTTGTTTACAAGATCCAATCAGTTGGAATTATCCACTCTTGTACAACTCATACATTGGGTTATCGGTGTCACTATTTCTGTGAATGCTTGTGAGTTTGTATTCAAGATTGGTACTGATTGATTTCCATCATCATGGAGGGTTTCTGTGACTCTTGCACTTTTGCAGTAAGCAGGATTTGTAGTCCATAGCAGACTATAACTAGCATAATTTAACTGTCCTGAATGTCGGAAACGTATTTACATGTAACATTATTGATATATTTGAGAAGAATTACCAGCTAAGGATATTACTAATTTAAACATGTGAACCGGTGGAAACACTTGTATGGTTGTTACAGGTTCACCTTGCCATCAAGGCAGATTTTACAAGTTGATTTTGACTCCAGTGTTGACTAAATCTGAAAATGAGTTCTAGAAGTTGATCTAGTAGAAAAGGCCGGCTAGTGTAAGATGGACCACACTTATCAAATGCTAGTTAGTCTGTAACAACATTCTCAATAGACCCCAAGACACAGAAACAGGTCCTTAACTTTTTATTATAAGCATTCTTCTTCTTCAGCTGTAAACTCTGGTGGAAAGTTCAGTTTGTACATCCACTCCCGGACTTAAATCTTGTTCCAGAACCCAAGTTTTAAATGCCCATCTGTTTTACAGATCTGGCAATTATTTACATGCCCATTGTTGGCTTCTTGCCTCTCAGGCAGATGCACTCTGACTTTAAATGAAGCTCCCTAATTAGTTGACTCTTACAACATGTTTGTTAAGGATGCAGTGGACCTATTTCCCTCCCCCCACAGTGGGACCCCAGAACCTGGTATGGGGAATTATAAATGATGATAGATATAAGAGAACAAATAAAATATAATATTTTGCATAATTCTTCTTTTGTGCTTGAACTACTGATTTGGTAAGCAAAAGTCAACTTTGATTGAATTGTGTGCATTCTTTTACAGGAAAGAGGGGTTGATATATCCCGTTTGGCACTGAAGTTTACACTGGATCAGACAGATATTCCAACAACTCTAGTCAGCACTGCCAGGTAGGCCACTCTTAGTTACGTCAAGATAAACTTATCCGTACACCTTTGAATACATTGTACAATTACAGTGGAACCTCGCTTAACAAGCATAATTCGTTCCAGAATCATACTCGTTAAGTGAAACACTCGTTATGCGAAGCAATTTTTCTCGTATAAATTAATGTAAAATACAATAATGCGTTCCATGTTGAAAAAAACCCACAAAATGCTATTTATAAGTTATACTATAACATTTATTCAAAGAAAAATTATATACATATTTATGGAGAGTGAATCATCTTCATCTTTTCTTCAAACGGGGAACGAACCCACAAGGAATGCGAATTCAATTTGCAGAAAAAAAAGTCGAAATAATTACAATACATTGCTAATTATTTTTTTTACTAGAAAGTTGTCTAGAGACATTTGTTTTTGCCGAACCTTCAAAATTTGGCGAAAATGCAACACAGCATTAACATTAAATTTGCAGCGCGCATAGCCACTTCCTTATTAGGGTGATGCTCCTCAATGTGAGAAGCTACAGTTTCCCATGCTTTCAGCATTTTTCTTATTTCACCAGAAGATTGTTGCTTTTCTGTTACCTTCTCCTCCTCCTCCTCTGACAAACTTTCCTCCAAAACGTCTTGCTGTGAAACACAATGCAACTCCATAAGCACTTCGGTGGTCAGCTCTTGGCTGTGCTCTTCCACAAGCTCTTCGATATCACTGTTATCCACCTACAATCCCATGATAGTGGCCAAAGACACAATCTCGTTGACACATAATTAGTGGTGCCTTAAATATTGATTGCATGTGCAACTACTGATTTATTGTAACTGCTGCTTACACTGATGATGAACTGCGGTTTTAGTGCTGGACTGTTTGTGCTAGCACGTCTGACAGCTGCTTTATGCATTTAATATTGGCTTTGCTGAGACTGCAGTCTGTGTCAGTTCTCTCACAAGGAAGAGCAATAGGCATTCTATGTGGTTTTTGTTGACGTAGGTACGCAGTAACTATATAGTGAAGTTGGAACTACAGTTGCCTGGCATCTGTCTCTTCGAAGTGTAAGCATTAGGTAAAACAAGTTATATAAGGAGCTGCATGAAGATAACATAAACAGAGCACAATCAAGATTAATATAAGCATTTGTATTAATCACCTAGAGAAGTCTCAAAATTGAGAATTAAATGTCGGATTTAGCACATGATTTTTCTGAAGTGGTTCATTTGCATCCAGCCACGGTGTATCTTATAGCATTATAAAAATGTTTGTTCTGATGAGATAATTGTAAACTTTGATTACAGTCTAGAAAATCTGCAAAAAAACATTGAGTCAGTTCACACACCACTGAGCGACAAGGAGAAACAAGTTCTTGAGGAAGTCATGGAGAAGTGAGAGATGTTATTTGTTCTGTTTGTATTTCGTTTGCTCTCTTTGTATCTTCAGTGTAAACAAGTGTAGGATGCTAATTCTTTAACACTAAAGGGGAATATTATTTTTTATCTTTATCATTGCATGTTGTCATTGTCATCAGATTAGTGTGAATTTGTCATTCCACCATCTTATGTTGTTAGAAATTATGTTCGGCTTCATGTTAGCTCCATGTTTTTATAGATCAGACAGTGCTGGATGATGATTGGTGGTCAGTAATATAGATCAACGGCGATGTGTCCAAGTATCCCAACAGAACAATATAAATGGAGGGGGGGGGGGGGGGGAACTTCAGGAGATAGACAAAGAGCAGTCCAAACAGTATACCATTAGAACTACATTATAGATGGGGGTAAAAACTTCAAAAGATAGACAGACAGCAATCTTTCAGTTTGGCACTAGAACTACAATATAAATGGAAAAGATAATTTCAAGACATGGACAAACAGTCATTGGTTGGTGTAGCACCAGAAGAAGAGCCAGAAAGTGTTGGTGCAGGCTTTTTTGGCAGCTTTTCTTTGCTACTTTAACTAGTCATATGATATGTTTTGGAACATGGAAATGCCGCCCCACTTGATGCAAAACATGCACATTTGCAACGCAGACCCCTTTGGCCATTTATGATGGATTTAAAAATAATTAAGGAAGCATTTACTTGTATATCTCACAACCTAACTTATGCCTTCATCTGTAAATCGGGGGATTCCGGTTGGAAGTTAGCAGACATTTCCATGTGGCCCTTAAATCAGTGTCCCTCAGTTTATTAGTTCCAACCACCAACATATCGACAACTCGCTTACTGCCCTCAAATCTTGGTCTGGGAATTAAACCGGTCACCTCTCCTTAGAAAAAAGTGTTATTCTTAGCTCTGGTATTCGCAGCCCTGCAGTGTTAAATGTTTAACTATATTTATGTGTTTTTTTTAAAGAAAACCCCCATCTTTTCCTGCTCTTTCTTACAGTCTTCTTTTTGTAATAACTCTTTACCCTGTCCATGTTTGTTTCTATTATCTATTTCAGGTTCTATGTTTATTCTGTTAGTTGGAATTGGAATGACTCAAAACTTTCAGCTGTGTTTTTGTGCATACTGTTCTTTCCCTCTGTTGAGCTTTTTAGTTACTTATGTGTTTTTTTTTACTTCTTGATGTCCACTTTACTGCAGTCACTCCTATTCATGTCATCAATTTTGGTCACTACTGAGATTGTTGACATTTTATCAGTTTTTATTGTAGTAATTGATATAAATATATACACATTTTACACTATGTCCAGTTTGAATATCAGTCTTGAAAACGTTCTTTTCTGTTAAAATAAAAATGTCAATACCACATAAACATGGAGGTTTCTGACATAAATTTGAGCATTTTCTAAATATTTCCAACATTCAGGTTTCTGAACCCTCTTCAGAATGCAAACTGGGAAGGGGTGGAAGTTGCTGAATACAGGAGGTCATTAGAACAGCAGTGCGAAAACTTGGTGAACTGAGAAGCAGTTGCACTTCATATCTGATGGAGAAGGTTGGAACTTTGTTGGATTTCCAAAAAATGTGTGGGTTTATGCACTATATAATTCACTTTCTTCTGTAAATAAAAGGTAGCTTCAGAAAGTTCCTGAATGTTAAATCCAGTAAAAATGTTATCTTGGAAAGTAGTTTCTTAAGATTGTAATGATTTTGACAGTCAAAAATGCTGATAAACCCTGGTTTTAATAATCAAAATCAAACTCATGTAACAGATGTATGTTTGTGTGAATTGTAGCACTACTTGGAGTTGGACAAATATCAATGAATAATCAGTGCACAATAGTCATATGTTTTGTGTCCTGGGGAATTCACCTCAGGAGATATTACCCTGCTGCACAAAGCTTATGGTTGAGAAACAGCAAGTTTCTTTGTTAGCGTAGGTGATGAACCTACACAGCAAGAGATTACATGACTCTGTCCTTGCTGGCTAATCATAATAAATGACTGCCCTGCAACATCCTCCCAGTTTGACAGTCTGATTTTTGTCATGTTCACTCATGTGAAATCGAGTGAGGAGCTATTTAAAATGTTATCACAACAATGACAGTATAACAGTGGGATTTCACATAATGCTTCCATGAATGTCTCAAGCAACTGCATGGTCCTTGCTGACACCCCCCCCCCCTGTCTGTGGTGTTACTATTTGTATCCAGTAGTCGAATCCTGGAAACTTGTTGAAGCTAGCTTGTATTTCCACTTGGGGTTAAATCATACATTTTAAATCCTAGTGAATCTTTGTTTCTTCCAATTGTGGCTGATGGGTAGTCTAGTGGATTGTTTTTATACTTCACAGTTCTGTTTCTACATTAAAACTTAATCTTTGGTTGTACGTTTAGAATAACAGGCATACAACAATTCTTCTGCATACATATTTCCTTTTTATGTTATATTTATCTGCTTTACTTTCAATATATATATATATATTTTTTTTTTAAATTGACACAAAATACAAAAATGGGTGATGACTTCAGTAATTTGGACATTTGATGAAGAACAAGAGCAGGTTTGTGTGTACTGCATCACTAGGAAATTGACTGTTTTTTTTAAAAGAAATTTCACATGGGTGCATTTGCTGTCATGTTAATCTTTTGCACAATGGAATGTATATTTGCAAGTTCAATTAAATGTTTATTTTCACTGAAAGATTATCTCTTTGTTGCATATTTTTTAAATTTTGATTTTTATATGTGATCATTACTTTTAACCCAGTTCTTGATGTCGTAGCAAATTATTGATGGCAAGACTGAAACATGAGAGATATTATCTTATTCGGCTATCCTCCGAATAACGGTCCCAAATTATCGAGGCCGAAAATATACCCTAACGGCGCCTCAGTCACATGTAAATTGTGGACTTCTTTCCGGCAACTGTACCGCCAAGAGTATTTCCCGCGGGGCTACGCTGACTGGGAAATATAATGAAGGAAGCTGCAGGAGATGCGGTAGCTGCTGCTCGTGAGTCCCAGCCATCTAGTTTAGCCATGATCTGTGCAGCACATAGCGGCATAGGAGATATTTTCAGTGGTGATTTTAATTCAGCAGAAGCTTTTCCGTGGTATGCTGTGTAGCCGCCGGAAAGAGGTCCGCAATTTACATTTGACAGAGGCCCTGTTAGGGTATATTTTCGGCCTCGATAATTTGGGACCGTTATTCGGAGGATAGCCTCTTGTTGCTTAATGTGTAATAGACAATACAGCTGTGGGTGTTGTGTACTGGACATTGGTAGTGAGATATTATCTTGTTGCTGTGTGTCAGGTTAAAAGTGTAGCAAACAACACAACTGTGGGTGTTGTGTATCTGATGTTGGTACATGAGATACTAGCTATTGCTCAAGAGGTAGTAGACATTACAATTGTGGGTTTTGTATAATTGATTTTGCTAAATGAGATATTATCTTGTTGCTGCATGTCAGGTTGAAGGAGCAGTAGAAAAACAACTGTAAGTGTTGTGTATCTGACATTGGTACATGAGAGATTATCTTGTTGCTGCATGTCAGGTTGAAGGAGCAGTAGAAAACAACTGTAAGTGTTGTGTATCTGACATTGGTACCTGAGATATTATCTTGTTGCTGCATGTCAGGTTGAAGGAGCAGTAGAAAACAACTGTAAGTGTTGTGTATCTGACATTGGTACCTGAGAGATTATCTTGTTGCTGTGTGTGTCAGGTTGAAGGAGCAGTAGAAAACAACTGTAAGTGTTGTGTATCTGACATTGGTACCTGAGAGATTATCTTGTTGCTGTGTGTCAGGTTGAAGGAGCAGTAGAAAACAACTGTAAGTGTTGTGTATCTGACATTGGTACCTGAGAGATTATCTTGTTGCTGTGTGTGTCAGGTTGAAGGAGCAGTAGAAAACAACTGTAAGTGTTGTGTATCTGACATTGGTACCTGAGAGATTATCTTGTTGCTGTGTGTGTCAGGTTGAAGGAGCAGTAGAAAACAACTGTAAGTGTTGTGTATCTGACATTGGTACCTGAGATATTATCTTGTTGCTGTGTGTGTCAGGTTGAAGGAGCAGTAGAAAACAACTGTAAGTGTTGTGTATCTGACATGGTACCTGAGAGATTATCTTGTTATCTGTTGCTGTGTGTGTCAGGTTGAAGGAGCAGTAGAAAACAACTGTAAGTGTTCTGTATCTGACATTGGTACCTGAGATATTATCTTGTTGCTGTGTGTGTCAGGTTGAAGGAGCAGTAGTAAACAACTAACTGTAAGTGTTGTGTATCTGACATTGGTACCCGAAATATTATCTTGTTGCTGTGTGTCAGGCTAAAGGTATGGGAGGATCTGAGCACCTATGGACATGTCCGGAGTGCATTGATGATAACCCAACTAACTAACTAACTAACTAACTAACTAAGGAGTGGTAGACAATACAAACAGCTGTGGATGCTGTGTAGCTGACATTGAAATGTGAGAGATTATCTTGTTGCTGTGTGTCAGGCTGAAAGTATAGTAGTAGACAATACAGCTGTGGGTGTTGTGTAGCTGACATTGATAATGTGAGATATTATCTTGTTGCTGTGTCAGGCTGAAGGTATAATAGTAGACAATACAGCTGTGGATGTTGTGTAGCTGACATTGATATGTGAGAGATTATCTTGTTGCTGTGTGTCAGGCTGAAGGTATAGTAGTAGACAATACAGCTGTGGATGTTGTGTAGCTGACATTGATATGTGAGAGATTATCTTGTTGCTGTGTGTCAGGCTGAAAGTATAGTAGTAGACAATACAGCTGTGGGTGTTGTGTAGCTGACTTTGATAATGTGAGATATTATCTTGTTGCTGTGTCAGGCTGAAGGTATAATAGTAGACAATACAGCTGTGGGTGTTGTGTAGCTGACATTGATATGTGAGAGATTATCTTGTTGCTGTGTGTCAGGCTGAAGGTATAGTAGTAGACAATACAGCTGCGGGTGTTGTGTAGCTGACATTGATATGTGAGAGATTATCTTGTTGCTGTGTGTCAGGCTGAAGGTATAATAGTAGACAATACAGCTGTGGGTGTTGTGTAGCTGACATTGATATGTGCACACAGTGGAATTGCAGTAGCTCAGTGGCTAGTATTCTTGCCTGCTGGTTCATAGATTTGAAACTGTTTTTTTCTAAACTTCTGGGTTGACAAACCTTTTTAACAGTATGTAGCAGGAAATTGTTAAACATGTTTAAGATCCAGACAGCATTACTTCAGCATAGTCTCAACCCATTTCAATAGCATTAAGAGCCTGAAAGAAACATCAACAGCTGTGGCAGAATAAACAAAGTATTCATTCTGAATAAATTATGCACTATTAGTTGGTCAGAAAAACTCACTGTAGGCATTCTGGTAAACATCCTATTTTTTGCTTAGGCAGGCGACCAGTGCCATTCGCACATTCGGTGGAAATGTTTCCTGCTCAATTGTTGCAACATGTGGATGAGCATTACCATGCAAACAAATCATGCCACAGGAAGCATGATGGGACGTTTATTTATGCTGATGGCTTTATGCAGCTTTCCTAGTGTTTCCGGGTAGTGGGTAGAGGTGATGCTGATATTAGGTTCTTCAAAATCTATGATGAGGTTCTTTAAAATCTGTGCAGAACATACCTTATGATACTGCAGTTTCTTATCAACAACCTCTTGAACTGTCCTAACACACCAAATTTTTTCACTTGCAAACAAATGCATCGACAGTGGTTCACCTTTATTGCTGGCGATTTTGGCAATGGGTTTTCTGTTGCAACAATATACACCTGACACGGCCATGAACTCTACGTGCTTTCCCAAAACCGAATGCATGTACTCTCTTTCACACTGACACACATTTGTTACTGAACGCTGCCCACATTCTTCAAAAGAAACCGAATCACTACTATTTGGGTTTCTTGGGGTGGATTTTTGATCGACCTGGCCATTTTCTCAAGTCAGAAACACATGCTTATTTATTTATGGGTCAGTACTTGTCATATGACTATGACATGATCACGTTCAAGCACACAGTTACATGAACGAGTTTCGAATGAACACCGCTACGTTAATCCCTGATGGAATCCTAAAGTTATGATAACAGTATGGAACAGCAGAGGTTTCAGTAATATTTAAGACAGAATAATTATTTGGATGTGCGAGTGAAGTTGACTATGTCTGGAATCAACAATAAATGCAGGTTCAGCTGCTTGGTACAGAATGAGTTTAACCATTCTTGGCAGCATGTGTGCTCCTTGGATATATATTTAATCCACTGGATACCACTGACTCTACAGTTGTTGCGTTTAGGAAAAAAATGGGGGGGGGGGGGGGGGGGGGGGGGGGGGGGTTAGTTAGAAAGCTCCATAATAAGAGGTTCATCACATTCTGTGCACAATACTTTTTCCAAGCTAATTTAAAAACACTCAACAACAACAACAAAAAACTACAACAAGAAAAGTCGCAGAATTGACTCTATGATAGATAACTTTATTAAGAAAATATAATGATAAATGCAAT